CGGTCCGACGTATCGAGGCAAATCCAACAACTCAAAGGTACACCATACTTTTCGTTAATTGATATTCATTGAGATGGAATTGCACATTAAGATCAACGGTATCCATTACTCTACCCATCGTTTAAACTCATTTTTCTCATTTTTGTTGCTTTGACGTGTATTACTGCCGAAAATCCCTGGCCCATAGTATTCAAGGGATTAATGCGGCTTACAGCAGACCTGAGAAATGAACGTTATATTTTTGTTACTCAATGATACTTGTTCTATTCCGATTTTACTCTATACTAATTCATACCGGAGGCGCATGTTCAAGTGCTTCCAATGCCAGATTATGAGGATGAAATTTGCGCTGAGAGACAACAGAGTTTTTCCTTGAACAATTTCTTAATTCTAATTGTCTTGAGTTGGTTTTCGTCTTGATGGGCAAAAAAGGAAGTTGGTGTGATCAGAATGTCTGGTAGTGGACTAGAGAATACATTTGAAAATCAGCCTTGTTAATCGATAAATTTGAGTTCATTGCCATGATTTTGTAAGTCCTAGTGGCTTTCTATGTCTCGTGGTAAATTTGTCGTGCATATTTATCCGCTTTCTACCGGTTTGCATCCGGCTAAAGTGCTCACCATTCAACGTTCTTGAGCCAGGGTTATTGGCTCTTCCTCAGCATATTTTAGGTTCTAGGAACTGCCTCAATCTCCTGTACATCTTATCACGAGAAGATTAGCCGGAGAGACACGTTTCTTGAGAGAACAAAATACGTTAGTATTATGTATGACAGCCATGTATTTTGTTCTTTTTCGGGTTGCCCTCGGGCAAGATCCACTTTCTGTCTAGCCGATCATTGCGGCTTCGTTTTGGCCGTCTACTGATAACTATTGCTTTTGTCCTTTTGGACCGCACTCTCGCTATGTTGATCCGATTGGCGGCTTTAGCTGTACTCTTCTGTTTGAGACATATAACTGTCCACATGGGATCTTGTAGTACTGTGCTTGCTTGTGGATAAATTTCCCCTTGTCTATTGCGGGGTGCTTTCGTCGCAGTCAGCGCCGTTCCTTTGATCAGTTTCTGTTGATTGATTCACTCCTTCGAGCCTACCGTTCTCAATCTGTCTCGACAACAGTTTCCTACACAGTCGGAGCCGAAGAACGTTTCTGTTTAATATTATCTTGAACTCCCTTCCCATTAAATAGTTCCTTTACTGAAGTCGAGCTTTATTTTTAAGCGCAGGGTGCTTCATCCACCGCTCTGGTATTAAGTTTGTTCTACTCTATACCCATTTGTACGTTTATTCTTCATTTAGGTTCTGTCGTTCTATCCGGTTTTGATACCTACATCAAAACGTTATGAACTATACTTCGAACCACCTCATTCATTTTTTAGATGACGTTGGAACTTGCGTTCATTATTCTCCAACTTCTGGTGTAGATAGCTTATAATAGCTTTCAAACCCGTTTATAGCTCCAGATATTTTC